ATTAAACATATTTACTAATCCCAAATAAAGCTTCCCGTTCCTGGTTTTAGCGCGACTACGTCGCGCAGCTACCTAATATAGTATTGCAATAAAAAGACAATTTTTAGACGCTGATATAAATCCTAGCTTATCAATTAATACACATAAACACCCGGATCATATGTACATTTCAAAGCTTATTAACACGCGAAAGATCACAAACAGGCTCCAAAATTTAAAAGAAATTAAAGCGAGTCGCGAGATCGATTCAATTGAAATTTTCCAGTTTATATCCTATATTATTGAAAATAAAGGGGGAAATACATTTCAATTATATGCAAATATTACTAAGCATTGGCAAAGAATAACGATTGAATGATTATATATTTGAAGGTAACGAGACTTACATTATGAATCGAAATATTGTACTCTCATTTCTGTTTTTTACTTCGGCGAATTCTGAAACATTTATAGTTTCTGAAACAAACTTAATATCGAAGATTATAAGTTTAATAACATGAATTTGCATAGTAAAGAATTTGAACTATAACCTAAATCGACATTAAGCCAAGACCAATGAAATATGGAATTCAAAGCATCAAATATTGTTGACGAGGTCTTAGGGATTGAGAACGATAATAATTAACTTTAAAAAACTTTATAATAAATGTTAAATATACGTAGTTTATAAGTTTATATTTTGATGGTTTTCACGGTTTAGTCTAGGCACCAAAAATATAAACCGTATTAACCTATCACCTGAATGGTTAATGTTTTGTCATGAGTATTATCGGCATTAGGGATGTTAATCGACTCGGTTTAGTCAGTTTACAAGTCAGTTAGAGTTGAGTTGGTTAAAGTCGACTCCAAGTCGACTTCGGTATATCAATGATCTTTACCAAATTGAGAGCGTTATACACGAATTATGTTCAAACGTCAATTATACTTATTACACGCTACGCGATTGATCACTATTTGGGCAAGGTGCTGAGAAAAGGGACGAAATTGACAATTTTTTTAAAAGATGTTTTTTTTGCATAAATCAATTTATAATATGGTTAAGATCATTTTACATTTAAAACACAAAAGTAGTTGTATTAATAAAGTTTTGCAGTATAGCTCTTTAAAGTTTATATTTTCTTATGATTTATTATAAAATTTATAACATAAAAATTGATTTTCTGAAGATCTTTTTTTTTGTCAATTTCGTCCTTTTTCTCAGCACCTAGCCCATTTATTAAAAGAACTACCTATTCTTGTCCGTGGTGTACTAATTAGGCTAAATATAGTTTTTCAGATAAAAGTGCAAATTAGATCCAATATAATAAAAGTTTTTTTGACAAATCCAAAAAATATTTTTAGAGTAATAATAATGGTTTTGCATGAATCAGTTGTCGTTTTAAATTCGCATAAATAACAATAAATTTAGTAATTACATTAATAAAAACAATAACCAAGTTGTTTATCCAATTAATTCGATGAGCATTGCAATCTCATAGTAGAGACCCCAGATTATGCGATTTAAAATACATCGTGATACGATGTGATAAATTCAAATTGTGCGATATTTATGTAAGGAACCTTATACATATTTATATTGTTCTAACTTTGATTTA